GGGGGGGAGGGGGGGGGGGGGAGCGGTGGGAGGGAGGAGGAGGAGGAGGGAAGGGGGGGGGGGGCACGGCGGGTGCGCGCGGCTGACTGACACCCGAGGGGGCGTCTCCCTCCACCGCCCCCCGGCGCTCCCCATTGGCGCGGGCGGGCGTGACGCGCGGCGCGGCGGCTGCCTATTAAGGGAGGGAGGCGGAGGCAGGGCCCGGGCAGAAGCCGCGCCGCATCCCGCCGCCGCTGCGTGAGGGGGAAGAAGCGCCCGGAGGCAGCGCCGCTCCGCCGCGGAGGAGCCCGGGGGCCGACTCTCCCCCCCCACCCCATCCTCTCCACCAAAACCCCCCTTCCCCAGGTCCAGCAACGCCCCCGAGGCGCGGGGCGGGAGGAGCAGCGCCGTGTGGCGGCGGAGAGGAGGAGGAAGGAGGAGGAAAGTTGGTGCGAACGGCGGCGGCGGCGGGACTGCAGAGGAGCCGCCGCCTTGCCTCAGCTCGGCCCGGCCCGGCCGCCGCGGATGTGCCCCCGGCGGGCGGGGGAGAAGAAGAAGGAGGAGGAGGAGGAGGGAAGGGAGCCCTTGCGGAGAGGGCGACCGGCTGCGCTTCACCCCGACCGGGCACCCCCGGGAGGATTTGTGGATTGACTCTCTCTCCTGACCCACACCACCCCCGGCTGGATTTTGTGGGGTTCCGGTGTTGCTGGATTTTCTTTTTGGCTTTTTTTTGGGTTTAATTATTATCATTTTTTTTTCTCCTCTTTCCTCGGGGGAAGGAACTGCTTCGCCAGCCCCCCTCGGGTGGCCGTGTCCCCCCCCCACCACCACTGCAGTCGTGGCAGTGCCGTGGAGGCTGGGACACCCCCCCAGCACACACTTGGAGCCAAGGTGAGCGCTGGCACTGATCCGACACAGCATCATCCATCCCCTTTTCCCCTCCCGGAGGCTTGTAACCACACACAAAAAAAAAAATTAAAAAAAAATCATCTAGAGAAGCATACAAAATATCCAGATAGTGGGACTGGCGTTTTGGGATCTGTTAGTTTTCCTGCTCATGCCACTGCCCCCTGGTTGCCTCAATGGCAGGATCATGAAGTGTTTGACTTTCTTTCTTCTGCTTCCAGAGACCTTAAAGAAGTCCAAAAAGAGCGTGAGGTCAAACGGCAAGGTGCCAGGATGCTATGAGATAGTGCCCCTCTCGTCCCTCAAGAAGAAGATGGCTGCAGAACTTTACCCTGCCACCACCAACAACACCAACATCGCCAACAGCAACAACGCCGCCGCCGCCGCCACCACCGCTGCTGCCAACAGCAAGAAGAACGCCCTGCAGCTGCAGCAGAGCGCCCAACCGCCCCCGCCGCCCCCGCTCCACAACCTCAACAACAACAACTTGGAGAGCTCCAACTGGCAGTCCTTCCACCCCACGCTCCGGGAGAGGTAAGGGCCCGGGACCCCACCGGACCCTTCCCCATCCCCACACCCTGGGGACGGGGGATGGACACCCTCCCCCCCCCACGGTGGGGTTGGGGAGATGCCCCGGGACCCCGTCGCTAACGGGACCTCTCTCCTCCTTCCCCTCGCTTGCAGGAACGCGCTGATGTTCAATAACGAACTCATGGCTGACGTTCACTTCATCGTGGGCCCGCCGGGGGCATCCAAGAAAGTTCCTGCCCATAAGGTTTGTGCCCCTAATTTTTTGGCTCTTTCATACCGCTCTGCATCTCGCCTTCTCCCCCTGCCTTACAACTAAGTTCTTTTAATTTTATATTTTTTTTTCCTCCTAATTATGGCTCTCACCAAATCCCAAAACATAATTCATGTATTCTGCAATTAAAGGGGACAGTCCGAGGCAGTCTTCTGCCTCCACTGCAGCTTTTAACTTTCCCTAACCCTTTTTTCCTTATCGAAAGCCAAGCACGCTCAGCCATTAGTACATATTACTGAGGCTTCTCTCTCTTTTTATTTTCCAGTATGTTTTGGCAGTTGGTAGCTCTGTCTTCTATGCTATGTTTTATGGCGATCTCGCAGAGGTCAAATCCGAAATCCATATACCAGATGTGGAACCTGCAGCCTTTCTAATCCTATTAAAGTAAGTGGCCACTACAAGTCTACACTAATGACGTGGACAGAATCAAAGTAGCTTATAAAATATACATCTCCTAATTGGCATTGTGCAATATGCACTTACTGCTCTTTACTTGATGTGTTGACAAATACTGAATGTCAGATTCGCTGCCAGCAAAGATGACTATAGATCAATCTTTCCGGGCTTATATTTTCGTTTTTTTCCCTAAGAAACTATTCTTTTCCCCCCTCCCATCCCATCTAGATACATGTATAGTGACGAAATAGACCTGGAAGCTGACACGGTTCTGGCTACGCTGTACGCTGCCAAGAAGTACATCGTGCCGGCCCTCGCGAAGGCTTGCGTCAATTTTCTGGAAACCAGTTTAGAAGCAAAGAACGCCTGTGTCCTGCTGTCTCAGAGCAGGCTCTTCGAGGAGCCGGAGCTGACACAGCGCTGCTGGGAAGTGATTGATGCTCAAGCAGAAATGGCACTGAAGTCGGAGGGCTTCTGCGAGATAGATCAACAGACCCTAGAGATCATCGTGACCCGGGAGGCTCTCAACACCAAGGAAGTGGTGGTTTTTGAGGCTGTTCTCAACTGGGCAGAGGCCGAATGCAAAAGGCAAGGGCTGCCGGTGACGCCACGCAACAAGAGGAATGTATTAGGCAAAGCTTTGTACTTGGTGCGGATTCCGACCATGACTTTGGAAGAGTTTGCCAACGGAGCTGCCCAGTCCGACATCCTCACCCTGGAGGAAACTCACAACATCTTTCTATGGTACACGGCCGCCAACAAACCCAAACTCGAGTTTCCGCTGACAAAAAGGAAAGGACTCGTACCTCAGCGGTGCCACCGGTTCCAGTCGTCTGCCTACCGCAGCAACCAGTGGAGGTACCGGGGGCGGTGTGACAGTATTCAGTTTGCCGTGGACAAACGGATATTTATAGCAGGACTGGGGTTGTACGGGTCCAGCTGCGGCAAAGCTGAGTACAGCGTCAAAATCGAACTGAAGCGCTTGGGAGTCGTCCTTGCTCAAAACCTGACAAAGTTTACCTCCGACGGCTCCAGCAACACTTTCTCGGTGTGGTTTGAGCACCCTGTGCAGGTTGAGCAAGACACGTTTTACAATGTAAGTGCCATCCTCGACGGTAACGAACTCAGTTACTTTGGGCAAGAGGGGATGACCGAGGTGCAGTGCGGGAAAGTGACCTTCCAGTTCCAGTGCTCCTCGGACAGTACTAATGGCACCGGGGTACAAGGAGGACAAATACCTGAGCTCATTTTCTATGCATGATGCATTTTTCACCTTGATTGTATTCCAATACTGCAACCAATGCACATTAAGGGATTTTTTTTTTTCAGTTTTACTACAAACTCTGCAGCAGTATGGAATGTTACGCTACTTACCTATCTGCTACATCAGGCTATACAAATAAGTGAAGGAATGCTCTTGAATTTAATCTTATTTTATTTATTCATAAGCTATTTGACTTAATTATTAAGACTGCAATGAGCAGGAAAATGTTAAATTTCGCACGTACTGTGCATTTATTTTGTATATAGATAACTAACTTCCAGACTGCAGCTGACTTAAACAGAATGTTCTAAACTAGAGCAGTTTATGAATCTGTGAAATATAAAATGTTTTTACTTGCCCTAAGTCCCGTGTACTTGATCATTGCTGATCTTAACGGCTTGTTGTCTTTTTAATTCACCCACAGTACAGTTAGCAGGGGCAATCCTTCTGTAGTCTGTCCCCTTGTGTGCAGCTGCACAGGCCATCAGCTCTCACTGCAGCTACGCAGGTTCCTTTGCCTGGTAACTTAGACTGTCCCTCACCAGCCTTTTATTTTCCTTCACTAAAAAGGGAGCTGATACCTGCAGAAGGTCAGGGGTTTGGGGTTTTTTTGGTGTGTTTTCTCTAAGCTAAGATACACAAACCACGACAGCGCAATCAGAGTCAATCAAAATCATTCAGTGGTTCTGTCTGAAAGCTGCTCAATGCCCATTATCGCGCCCTTCGTCTGCTTTAATCTGGCAAACGGCGACACTGAGGCTTGGACCTGTCAAATTGCACCCCCCCTTGAAGAGCCAGAGTCAAGGCAGAGAGATGAAACTTAATGCGGTGACAGGCTTTATCACAGGTTTAGCCCAGAGCTGTCGTACTGGCAACCACTACCGAAATATACCTCCCGTTTAGGAGCAGACCTCAGAGAAATACTTGCAATACAGTCTTTAAGTTCACTCAAAGTAACTAATTAGAAATAAGCCACCTTGAAACAAAAGCCACTGGATCTTTCCTCTCCCCTCTTTTTTTCAAAAAATCCCATCCACCATCAGCAGTCTGTTTATAGATAGTACCCTTAACTTTTCTCAAAAATTGATAAAAGCAGGGTTTTTTCTCATCTGACAATCATTACAGATAAGTCAATTAGAAATACTTGCTGTTTTTTTATAAATCTCTCTTCTCATAATGACTTCGGGAAGAATACTCAAACAGCAATCAAAACCAGTATTTTTCTCCCCATGTATAACAAGTACCTCCACATTTAATTTAGCAGGGTTTTCTGTTTGTCTTTTCCGGAGCTGCATTAATTTTCACCTTGAAACTAAGCCGCAATATTATTATTATATTTTTTTGTTTGTTTTTTAAAGAGAGAACAGACAGGATTTGTAATAATTAAGAAAGCAACTGAATTATTGCAGACAACTTTTTACCAGACATGAAGCCTATGCTAACGAAGCTGATAGCTATGCACATACTACCTGGATGCTGCTATGAGGATGCTCAATGTGTGAGCTGCTGGTACTGCTGCTGCCAAGGCGGGCAGTTACGTGCCCAGCCAAGTGCATCTGAAGGGGGGTGGGAGGGGGGTGTTGTTCTTGAACATGAAGGCATCTGATTCTCTCAGTACAGATTAAGGAGAGTGGGAGTGAGAGTGGGTAAAGATACAGGAAGAAAATTCCTGTGCAGAGGTGGGTAACAGTCACAAGACCTCTCTATAAACGCCACTCTTTTCACTCAAATTGGCATGAATTCCCAGGGTTTAAAAGCTACAACCTAGACAATAGCTTGCTTTTTTTTTTCTCTCCTTAAGCCTTTTGACAGGTTAAAACCCACCTTCCTATCACTGGGTTACGATTTCAGCGATGACTTACTAATTAAAAAGTTATTCATATGCTTGGAAAAAAAGCTGCTCCTCATTTTCCATCAAGCCACTTGTATTTCAAGCACTGAACACCTCAGCGAGGGGCGATGGACAGATAGTAAATTTGGCAAATGCTTATCAATTGTGGCATCTCTGTGGAACTGAAGCGTGACGGGCCTGTGCAAGCTTGTAGATGCACACAAATTTATTCTACATCAGCCCCATTGTCTTAGGATAGCCTAAACTGCTCTCAGAAAAAGCAACAAAATTATTTGTAAAAGAAAACAGCATCTAAACTCTTACATAAAGGAAAACAGGCCCTCATAGTCAGCAATGTTCTTCTGCCTGGACTGACTCCAGCTTCATTTTTAAGTTACTATTTGGATTTCACACACAGTATTATGTATATACACACACATACATAGATATTCTTGTTAAGGAACCATGCAGAAAATACACCCAAATACTCAAAAAGCAACTCAAAAAAAAGAAAATACCTATGGCTGGAGCATTTATGCAGAGTTCTCTGGCCAACAGAAGAAAAGTTTTTCCCAGCACGTAGACATTCACCTATTAAAAGAAAAAAAAAAGAGCATCATTTAAATCTTAAACCACAAATGTTTTTAATAGAACATTTATATGGAAAGGAATAAAACCCAGCAACTTTAGAAATCTTAAACAACCTGCTTTAAAACAAATTCAATTGAAGTAATATAAGTAATATTCATAGGTATAGAATAATGCTTTGTCAAAAGCTGCACAAATTAACATTGTAAATCAAAGCATAAGTTTATATTGAAAAAATTTAAAAAATTGTTCATCATACTCTTCAGTGGGCTCGGTGTTGCTCTCTAGTACTTGGACAATTTTCCAGTTGTCGCCTAACCCCTTAAAGCATTAAGTAGACTATAATATAATATCAGCATATATCCAGTGTCATTTATCTTGTAACGTACCAAAGCCTGAGCACATACTCACAAGTCAGTGCAAATTTCAGCACTGCACCATCATGTGAAGTGGGATAATTAAGCATTGCACAAGCACACACCAAACTTTTCCACCAAAGCAAGGAGTGGTGCTGTATGACCCGAGGGGGTTATTTGTCATTTCTTAATGTTTGGACATTGCCCCATATCACCCTACATTTAAAAAAAAAAAATTAAAAAAATTAAATAAATTCAGAAAAACCCTAATCCACACCAAACCTGCTAAGCAGCCAGGGACAGAGCCCTGCTCCCCTCCCTCACTCCACTCAGGAGGATGTAAACTGAGGGGAGGAGTTACTTTTCACAGACTGATTTGCAATTTATAGCACAGGCAACTACATTTGTATTTCAGAAGTCTGAGGAAGTTTTCTTTCACTATCTTAAGATGTGGTCAGCAAGAAAGGCAGGATATACTTCAGCTCCCAATCAGCCCAAAACGTTCCCATGAAGCTCCATGAACACCTTGCTCCCCCAAGGCACATATAAAGGTCAAAGTCAATATAAAAAAACAAAAAACCTTCATCCTCCTACACTGCAAACAAATAGATTTTTATTTTATTTATTTTTAGGATACTATATACTGTATTGCTTTCATGTAACAGACCTGGCCCTTTCTTTCCTATGCCAGGAGAGGGAAAGTGTTTACTAAGCAGGCAATTACACAGCCGAGTTGTTCATTATGGTACAAATCTATGGAAATAAAAAGTCCTGTTACTAAGTATATTCTCTTTGAGTTTCAGAAAAGAGCTTTAAGCAACATGAGTTTAAAAGCAAGCTTTCCTTCCAAGTGTACAGATGCTTCTACCAAGCTAGCAAAAAAAAAAAGAAATCAATATTTTTCTTTTCATGTAATAAAAAATACTGACAAATTTTCACCTAGCACTTCAAAATTTTCCTTTATGGGAAGACGTTCTTAATGTGAATTCTCAAATTTAAAAATTTTTAAAAATGAGAACTTCAAATAAATCCTCAGAATGATTATGTATCCTGAAAATGACTGCCCAATCAAGCGTACATGATATGATATTAATTCATTTCATATTTAGTGGAAAGGATTGAATATGTTCCATTCTTTGTCTGACCAATGGTTGGACTGGTCTAGAAGATACAAAAGTGTAGTCTTAAAATTCACCATCCTTTTTTTTTTCCCCCTCCCTAAAATAGCAGGCAACATAGAAATACTATTCTATGGGAAGTGAACAAAATCTATCGATTTGAAGTAGTATATTTTTTAGGAAATAAGCAACCAAATTTTATCCAGACAAACAAACCCCTACCGAGTCTGGCAATTCATACAGGAGGTTTGAGAGCGTGTGACTTTCCATGAGCCACAGAGACGGAACAGACATTACTACAGCAAAATATCTGCAGTGTTTCAATTGGCTTTAGATGCTCGATTCACTGCAAGTTTGGAATGGCTTGTTTTGACCTTTTGTCTAAGAAACAGTAACATAAAGAGTGGGGTTTTGGCTGCAGTTTCAGCCTTCTAAGTTGGCTGACCAAGTTACTATAAATCTTAAACCTCATCACTTAGATCTTGTTCTGCAAGGACAATTTCACTGCCCAAATCAGTAAAGTTACGTCATTGGAGCCAAGTACATATGATGTTTCCATCAGAGGCTTCACAAACTCATCTAGTTCTTTCATTTTAGTCTAGAAAAAAAACACAACCAACCACGCACCACCTCAAATTCAGATAATTATTTCTCCCTCTGGCTTTTTCTGTCACAACATCCAAATAACTTGACGTGTGTCCCCACCAAACCATGTCACGCTCTAAGAAACTCCTCCCAAGCAAACTTCCCATAACTGCAATCATCAAAGAACAAATAAATATGAAGAGGTATAAAGAAGCAGGGCTTTTAAGTGAAGTTCCAACAATCAAAGCGGGTGCCAATTTAAATCTAAAGCAAAGACAAACTGCATAATAACTGCATTGCTCGATGACTCTCTTCCTCATCCAAACTAAAAGTCTCCAGATCCATGGTCTATTTGAGCAGTAACGTACTTAAATCTAACCTGCTTTTCCACATCATCAGTGTTTTATGACGAACTTCAAGGTGTAGGCAGTGTGTATTTACACAAAATAATAAATTCAAATAGAAATGGTACATCAGGGGATTTTGTTTTTCTTTTGATCACAAGTGCATTTCTTTTTAGTTTCTGGTAACTACCAATTTAGAAAGAAACCATAATATACTGCGGATTACATGCTATATATGGTTTTCCTCATCAAGCTCACATGTTTTTAATGCTAGACTAAAGTCACAAAAAGACTCAGGAATATATAATTGCTTCCAGTTTTCCTGGAAAATCAGTAGGAAAAGAGACTTCAGGCCCTCTCAAGCAATATGCTTCTCTTCTTTAAAAGTTATCAGGTATTCACAAGTTCTGGGGCATTTCTCATAAATAGGAAATTAAAGATGGCACAAAGCTCACCCAGAAATCTGTAATGGCACTGAACTGCTAAAATATGATATTTAAGAACTTCTGGTTTTAGTGGAAGAAAGCCCTTTCACTAAAAT